TGTAGGTTTTGTCGGAGCTTCATTAATTCATCAGTGTCCTTGGTAACGATGAAGCAGTCGTCGACTATATATATAACTATATATATAGCTAGAATGTTATACCCTTCTATAATACATTCCTTGTATAAATTAAGTATATTACAAAATGCTAATAGATATAATTCAAGTTTATGTAATGTACTTTTTATTAAAATCTTATTCTAATCATACTTTTTCTTGTTATTATAGAAATGCAATTTATTCCATAATCTTTCATAATTTAATACCTCTTACTTACTATATTGTCCTTTTGGTAATTCTTAATAATAGTTTCTGTGGTTTCATAATTTCAAATGACTTTACACAGCCACTGCTACCTCTTCCCTCTTACCTCTATCTATTTAAGGTGGCACCAACAAAACTCATGAAATATTTTTCAAAAAATAATCTTTTAGATTTTACATTTACATATCCAAAAAGGAAAAACATGAAAATTTGATTATTTTAGAATTTTTAAATCTTTTCAAAATACATTATTTAAAATCCTTGCTGGCATGTAGTGGAGTTTTTTGGAATAGCTGATATGGAACTTGTGTAAATTAATTCTTCACCTAAAATTATCTGTTTCACCAACATACAGTTTACCACACTTTACACATTCTTAAAGGTATATTACATTTTTAGAGTTGAAATTAAATGAGTTATTAAAGAAAAACAAAATATCTTTCTTTTAGTTTTTATGTAACCCAAGTTACATAAAGCATAATTCTTTCTTTTGTAACTGATCATAACTTACCTAGAAAAATCTTTCTTTAGGTTTATTCAGTAATGTTATGTAATTTAAGTAACATGAAAAAATAAAGTTTATTATATAAACTTTAGCTAATTCTGTTTATTTTTGAGCATTTTTAATATACTTAATCTATGCAAGGAGTGTATTATACATTTGTACTTTTGTAAAATATATGTTTTTAATTTAGATTATTTACGTTTAGTTGAAAAATGGTATTTGAACATTTTTTGTTATAGATTCTTTGCAAAATTACATCCTGAAGAGTGATCTTTGAAGTCATATATATATATATATATATAATTTAGAAATAAGTTTACTGTAAAATGAATAAGCTAAGTTCAAGTTAGTTGTGTAGATTCAGTGAGAACTTCCCTTTAAGTATCAACTTATTCACTGTTGCTAAGTTTATTGTCAGGTTCTGTGTATGCATGGAAACTATTCCAGGAATGTTATTATATGAATCAGATTTTTGTTATATTTGATAGAACCTGTGTTCTGTTGCACTAATCCAGTATACCTTCATTTATTCAATTTAGTAGTTATCACTTTGGAGCTTATATCAGCAGTAACATTTAACATAATTTTCAATGTAATCTTTGTTTTTTGTGGCACTAGTTCAAGTAATATAGTTTATTTAATTTTTAGTAATTTGTTGCATGGCTCTTATTGTTCATGTTATTAACAATATATGCCATATTATCTTTGTTTTGCAGAGCACCAGTTCTAGTTGCTTTAGCACTGATAGAATTGGGTATGAGGTACGAGGATGCTGTTGAGCATATTAGACAGTGAGTTTTTATACATTATTGCTTTATGAGCTAGTCAGTATGAAGTATATCTAATCTTTTACCATGGGGTTAATTCAAATCTCCCGTCATGATTAAATGGGAACTATGACACAAAAACTCTAGAGTAATTATGTTTATAAACTAAAATTAAGTAATAATCTCCTCTGGGAATTCAGATAAATATAAAGAATTATGTTATACTGACGCATTATAATGTGGCACACAGTCAACATTTCTACTTTCAAGATTTTTTTTCAAGTAATTTGTCCCAAAACAGAGCTAAACATGAAATATTGTGTTTATAACCAGTTTTTAAATCAAAACTATTTCAATCACAACTGAACAAAGTATTTCATATTTTGACTATAAATATATTTGTTTAACTTAAAGTACTTCCTTTTATTAGTAAAACTAAATTATCTACTGGATACAAGCATTTTGATGTGACTGTCACATCATTTTTACTGATTTTAAAGAGATCATTCTCCTTCCAATTTTATTCACAGTTAGCTTTGATGTTGGCATGTAATTTATTAAAAGTACAGACAAGCTATTTTCAAAACAGAAACACAGACAGACAAATCAAACTCTGTATAAAACCCATAGTTTATCTTCACCAGAATGCAGATAAAAAAAAATATAAATCATTTTGAAAACACTGCTGAGAATATTTTGAAACATAACTTTTTTTTTTTATGGTTAGTTTTTATTGTATGGTATAATTTCATCTTACTTTAAAAACATAGTTTTCAAATCTCTCCTGTATTATTGATAAATTAGAAAAGTTGTAATTGAACTGGTTAATGAAGAACCTAAAAATACCACCCACACCAACTGTAGTCTACCTCAGAATATAATAAAATGAAAACAAACATTAAAAGTGTTTGATTTTTAAAAGTTTTAATTTTACATAATCCAATAAAAAGTGTTAAAATATTACCTATGACATTATTATTACTTACGAGAAACATTTTATTGTAAGATTAGTTACTTCAGTCAGTTTCCCTGTGTTTTCCAGGAAACGAAGAGGAGCTATCAACTCTAAACAACTCTCCTATTTGGAAAAGTACCGTCCGAAATCCCGACTGAAAATAAAGAATGGAAATAAGCCATGTGCAATTCAGTGAAAATGCATCTTCCTCTTGACCTCCATTAATTTTTGATTGGCTTTTATTTCTGACTAGATGTTAATGTAATGGAATTGTATTCTTATTGTGAATATGACATTGTTGAGAGGTATTTGTCTGATTGTAATATCATGTTACCATGCCCACATCTTCCTACAGGAGTGTTACATGTATTCCATCTGTTAGATATATGTTGTAAACATCCTGTTGTAATGTGTATCTTAAGTGTAAGTACAACAACAGTTAGAAATAACTGTTTTCTTTAAGACCTAGAATTTTATTTTTATTTTACTTCATTTAACTGAAAGAAAACCCTACTTATCATGTTGATTTTATTTGATTGTAAAAATGTAAAATCCTCCTCCCCTCCCTAAAAAGTAGATGCAACTGAAAATGATTTTCTTGTAGAGTTGAGTTATTAAAAGATTGTCTCACACCATCAGATAAGATCATAAAAAAAAATTAAGTTCACACATACAGTAGTCTTGAAAATAGGGTAAATCAAGCTGTCTGAAACTGGTAATTTGATGCACGTTTAGAAATTGAATAACTTTTGTATGCACAGGATAAAAAGGAACTAATCAATGCAATGATAATAAGTTATTGTGATCATCTAAAACTGGGATTGCCTATGTTGTCCAGCTTTAACTTACTAATATATTGACAATATTTTTCTAAAGTAATTCAAGCCATTTTATAATAAATCTTCATTTTTCAATCTGTTAGTAAACTAATAAAACTAGAAGGAAGTTGCAATGGAAAACGAAAATGATGTATCAAGCACTATCATCAGTTTTAGAATCTTTATTTTATGCAATGTAATAGAATCTGAAATATATTAAAATGCAAACTGGTAAAAAATTAGACACTTTGCAATGCACTTTTTTTTTTTATCTAAAATATTCAGTGTGTGTCTTTTCATGAAAGTGATTTGAATAGGTGTATGCTTATAGGTTATCACGGTTAAAGAAATTTGTTTTTCAACAATATTAAACAACTGTTTTAACCATAAGAAATCTAAAAAAAAAAAAAGTCTGAATTATATTAATTTTATAACAAATTGGAGAAGACAAACTAAATGAATGTATCCATTGTAAATATACCTGCAGGCTAGGAATTATAAGTGTAATGTTAACCCTAATTCTCAAAGATGATTATTATTATTATTTTTTTTAAACAACTGAATACTGAAACAAAAAATAATTATTTTACTGTGACCCACCTTTCAGATCTTTTTAAATGTTGTATTCACTAATCAGTTGCTGGATCAACAATCGAATAATGCATGAGAAATATAACATCAAACATGATATTTTATAAACACTGACCAAAGATCAATATTACACTTCACAGTATGCTAATTGTTGATAGTCATTCCTAGAAACTTCCTAAATATGTTGCAGGTTCATAGATTTAATAATGTAGTTCAATATACAAGTTACAAGCTTATTTTGTTCAAAAAAATATTTAATTAATTTTAACTAGAATGAATGCTCATTTCTGACTCGTGTGTTTAAAAAAAAAAAAATAGTCCTAAGAGAAGGTCTCCAAAATAACTGTTATCTGTGGCTCAAAGCACTTTATCTGATGTTTCTTTTTAAGTTTGTTTTCAGATTCTTACTATGACTGACATGTCAGCTTGTGGTAAAATATAATTAAATTTGCCAAAATGAGAAGCTTTTGCAACAGTCGTTAACGTTGTTAATGTAGTATTTTTCCCTGTTGATTGAATACGTCATTCATAAAGCTTACTCTCTAGTTTTTTTTTTTTTTTTTTTTTTTTTTTTTTTTTTTTTT